GGGACACTACCAGGACACCATGCAGAGGAAGAGCAAAGGAAGACCACCGGGACACCAGGGCACTGGGCGAATCACCGCCGGGATTCAACAGGACTCCGCTGATGTCGGCAGAATCAGATGCGTGGACACTTTCTCGGTAGCAGAGTATTAGACACCATAGCTGAACCCTATTGGAAAGAACGGCGCCCATTTTGGGGTCGACGATGTCTGTGGGGAACCCAGCACACAAAACGTTTGGGAAGGCTGCCACTGAACAAGTGTGACAAAAACCGCATGGCACATGCTGGCTCCTCGAGTTTCGCATCCAAGTCCTTGCAAAAGTCCGTGAAGGGCGAAAACTCCTGCCATAGGACCCAGCTGTGAGGAGATCTGCCAGCTGATGCAGAAGAATGCCTGTCTGTCTGCATACATGTATGCATGTGTGCTTCTCTATACATGCGTGTATCTCTCCTGTACATATTATGTTGTTGTACCTCGCCCCGGAGTGCACCCCTAAGCCTCAAACATGAATACTGCATGGCGGCCTACACACCAAAAACATGGAGAAGCGCAGTGTCTTGAGCCACAGCCTTCAAATATTGCAGATTGGGGTCGAAAGCCAAAGTCAGCGCGAAATTCCGCGTCCTGCAGGTAGGTCGTCCCTTGGTTGCCCTTCAAGGTCACGAAGCCTCCACCAGCAAAAAGGAACACACACATCACGCTGGCGGGCGGACGATCACACACACACAAATCACATGTTTGGGGGTGGTGATCGACCAGAGCCTGTCTCTTGGCTGCTGTTAGTAAGGAACACAAGTAGAGGGACACCCTCAAATGTAAGAGGACACCCCAAGCACGAGAAAGAAGCGGGAGGTTCTCTTTTGGCCTTGTAACTACAAAAGTTGCCAAAACCGGGTTGAAACTAATAGATGCACGTGCTGACTCACTGGACCATTTTCTAAACACCATATCAAAAGTGGCTGAGCGGTTGCAATAAGAAGGAGGACACCAGGTCTGATTGGACCCAGGCCAACACACAACCTTTTGGAGCCATGGCTATGACCAGTTTCCGGAAGCCAGATTCCGTCGCTTTGCTCTGCACCGTGGAACTCCCGCCTTGCTTGCCAGAGCCAATGACCTTCACCTAGGGCGAAGGGTTCTTTGATGGGTCGCGGCTGAGAGCTATTGGCTGAGAACCATGGCTGAAAACTATGAACCAAAACCTCCAACCCATGCGTGCCTTTTTTGAGGGTCAATTTTCGGGCTAAGGGGAAGCCAAGAGGAAAGCATCTGTTTTGCCCCCCCTACTCGGGTCCCATGTTCATGTTGGTCAAATGATCGATGAGGACGGGCAAAAGTTGTCATAGGTGGCAGACGAATGCCACGCGCAGACCGCGAGTTTGCCTGGGGTTTTGCAGCCTCCCAGGAAAATGTGATAGGAACGCCTAGGCATGGGATAGGAGGGGTGGCAGGCAAAAGCATTTTAAATGTCCGCCCCAATACACAGCTAATGACACAACGGCGCAATGCTTTGGAGTAGGCCCCGTCTCCGACGATGCCCCTTCACTCAACATTGATTCGGGGGCTGGCATTGTGAACCAGAACAAACCGCAATGCTAGCCAGGGGCAAGGCCAAGTGAATTGAAAGCACTGTCAAGGTCTTACTGACAACAAAGACCGCGAGGAAACTGTGTGGTCGATGCATGCCATTCAGTCACCCCCAGAAGTTGTCCTGAATCCTTACCAGCAGCTTAAGCAAACAATTCGCGCCAACGCTCCCAGACCCTCGCTCCAGGCTGATTTGGCCACTCTCTTCGCCGGCTTCCATCCTCGCCAAGTAGTCAGAACCAGCCGAAAAGTTTTCCCAGTTGGCCATGCGGCCGAGCGTCCGAGCCTTCCACTCAATGAGCACGTCATGCAGCCGCAGGCGCCGTCCAGCGGCCAAGACCCGAGCTGCCTGCAAATACAGCCGCCAACGGCTTCGGTAGGTCGGCGGCGGTGTGCACTTTTCCAGAAGCTGCTGCAAATGCTGCAAGTGCTGCGCCTCCAACGAAGAATGGCACAGGATGAGCAGCGATTGAGCATAGTCAGACAGAAGATTGAAGTTTCCTTTGTCGCAGGCCTCGTCTGCAAGTGGCCGCAGCAGTTGTACAACAGACGTTGGGCGCCCCGCAACAAGAAATGCCTTACCAAAGGCACAGTAGCATAACAAATTTGGTCTCACCCCGTGTCTGTCAACAAACACGCGCCACACATGCTCTGCACGCTCGACATCGCCTCGTGAGGCCGAACAATCAAGGAGCGCTCCCAGCAGCACGCAATTCAAGTTCACTTGGTCTTTGGCCAGCATGGCATCCACGTCCTTGTGGAGCATGCAGTGCTCAAGAAAATGCACGTAGGTGGAATAAGTGATGCTACTCTTGCGAATTGCAACATCTGCGTTGCGCCAGACGTGATGAGCCCATGCTAAGGCCTCTGGGCTGTCGATGCAGCGAGCAAGCTTCAAAGTGCTGCTGAGACCACAGTTGAAATCATAAGGGTCTTTCGGAGCAGCGACTTCCTGCCAAATGTTTTGCGCCATCAACAGGACTGCCTGCTTGCGCTCTGCAAGCACACCACGTCGGCCATCTCGCTTCAGGCAATGCGCCAAGGCCGTCATTGCAATGTTCCTAAGAAGCGCGTCTACAGCTACATCCTGCTCCTGCTGAATGGCTCGAACTTCCACGAAAGTATCCCACCAACCATTATAGCCACATGTCTGCATGGCAGCCCCTATCACACTGGCCTCCATCCTTCCCTCGCAAATGGCATTATCCAACAATTGAAGCAGGCGCGAAGAAGCTTGGCAATGCTTGATGTCGCGTCGAAGCTTCGCTGCGTGCGCAGATCTTCCCTGGGTTTTCCTGAGCCGCGTTGGGCAGCTGAGAAAGCGCAGCTCCTGTTTTTGCAGCCCAGTTTTGAATTCATGCGATGGCCGTTGCAGCATGCGCCGACGTCGAGAAACTGGAACTTCTTCAGGCCGGGAGTGGCTGCCCAGGGACACCAAGCCAACCATGGTCAAAAGGACCAGCCTCGGAGTATACATCATAGTTCTTTCCGCAAGGGCTGCGTGGTTGTGACTCGTTGCAGCTGAGCTCATGATGTGGCGTACAGTGCTAGTGCTAACACACCCATTGCAGGGCTGCCTCGTCGCAAAACTGTACTGCATGGCTTCGCTCGGCCAACGCGCCTTGGAATCAAATGTGATGCCCTACCACATTCAACATGGAACCATGTATCCACCAGTTGCCACTTGGCTGTAGATGTTCACAGAGTGTGCCAGCTATCTTCTGCGGAAAGAACTGTTCCTCTGCAAATGTCCATTCAAACGGGGCGATTTGGGCAACAGAGACATATTGTTGACTCAGTTGGTAGGTGAACCCGAGATGCACGGTGCTGGTCTGCTGTCTTGAGAGCTCTGATACCACTTGAGTGGTGAGTTTCAATATCGCGGCTCCAAACATCTTGCTGCCCCCCATACAAGAAGTAAAAATAACGGTTCTGGAAGAGGGGCTGTGCTTGAACACTGAACAAATGCTTCCCACCCACAGCGCAGTAACTTTGCTTGTTCCTAGTAGAGAATAAGGAATGACCCCTTTAGCTTCTTGTATGGCCAAAAGGGTCACTCCTACAAACTCCCTAAGAACGAGCAAGTAACGCCTGGTCAAAGAGGACCGGCTGGCCGCGACAACAACTCACCCGCCTCCACGCGCAGCATGCCAGTGGCCTCGTCCTTCTCAATGTTGCTCAGCGCCTCCATGACCTACGCGAGCGTCCCCGAAATCTTTGCCTCAAGTGGCAGTTTCGTTGGACCAACTGGCGCCAACTGGCCACTTGGGGAACAGTGACCCCAGGCTTGGGCTTCCCAAGGAACGCTTACCGGCTGAGGCCTGATGTTCGCAATGTTGGGCCTGAATCACTGGCTTGGAGCGCCCTGCTTACTTGCACGACCTGTCTTTGAAGGGCTGGGCTGCAAGGGTTAGACACTCTCTGAAGGACACGCACATAAAAGCACAATCATGTTTCCGTGCTTTGCCAAAACCGTCTGAAAGCAAAGAGTGGACAAAAGCACGGCTAGCCCCCAGGCAACTCAGAGTTGTTCAAGGGGCCTACTACGGATGCGTTTGGGGTTTTCCTGGGCGGCCCTGGACGACCACGGAACAACTGCCAGCATATATATATTTTAAAAAAAAAAAATGGGGCCTGGGAAAGAGTGGGGATAGCAGAGTACTGTACGTCTTCTCCCAAAACCTGCCGTCATCAGCTTCTCACCTTCCCTTTAATTGGTGATTTGGATTGATGGCTTGGAGGTTAGGGGTGGTTTCCCGGTCACCCTCTCCAAGAACCAGCGGTTCAAATTCCAAACCAATTTAAACCAACTGACGGTTCCCGAGCTTCTGCTTTTCTATGCAAGCGGGAACGAGTGCCAGCCATCCCAGGCACCTCGCCGACCTCCAACTTGCCGACAGTTTTGCTCGAGGAAACCTGGCGACAGGGGGTTCGCTGCCATCTTGAAAGTCAATACATAGAGAAGTATAGTCAATTCATGTCAATTCTAATTTCACATGCACATTCAGGTGGGCCTAGCAACAGAGCTAAGAAACACATACATCGACTTGTGTTGCAGCGTGTTACCTATGCCAACATGCGGTTCAACCACCCTGAAGCATCCCATTGCGTTCCTGTTGCCCTTTCTTGACATGTGACAGGACGTGGATCAAACGCAAACAGGAAGACAACGGGTCACTGAAGTGGCCATTGTTCAAACATCAAGCATCTCTGCCACGCAAAGTGATCCAGGCGGCCGATTGCCAGAGCAGTGTTTATTATGCACCGTATTCACTTCGGGCTCGTCAACCCCAACTCTTCAAGCACTACACGTCGGGAATAATTGCCAATGATTATAAACGCAGGTAGTCTTGATGGCTAAGTCGCTTGTTCCCTGCTGCCAGCAAAGCACGGTACTGCCTGCAACGAATCGGTCATCGAGATCCCGTTGATGCATGCGAACTTCTGGCGGAAGACTTCCTGCGATCAGTTCGGTATCTGTTTTGGCACAGATCGATGGCACTAGAACAAGCAGTGGATTTCATCAAATGGATTGCACTTGTAGATAGTTGGGACGATCAGCCTAAACCCACATCAAACATGCATGCCCGCACATCTGAACTCACGACAAGCGTGCAATCCTTGAACGCTGCAGCGGAGATGCTATCGCCATCTGCGTCCACCAGCCTGGAAAAGGGCAAAAGCAGGCAATGCTCCATGCCACGTTCAGGCACAGGGCGAATACATCCTCTCACACGCTGCCCGGATGGCTCTCTCCGAACTCCTGCATGCCCTGTCACTGCCAAGGCTTCCATGAGAGGCTTCTTTGAAACGTGGCCAACACATTCTCTTGAGGACGAAGCCGTGTTGCCAACACACTCTACTTCATACCGACTCTCCCCCTAGTTATTCTAGGTTCCTTCGGGGACAAGCTTGAAACAAGGACGTATTTTCATTGGATCATTCGGAAGACAGGCGTTCAAGAAAGATGAAACTGTTATGTATGCCGGGGTCGACAATATACCAAATAAGAGCGATGTTTGTTGGGAGTTGGGGATACCTCCATACAGTACTTGAAGTACTTATTTGTGAAATTCTCAGGATGTTGACCTACAAACAAATCGCCACATGATCGATCTGTGGAGAAATTGCTGTGCATTAGAGTCTGTTTTGTTCCTTTTAGCGCCGAGTTGTAATAGGATTGTGTTTAAGGGCTATTGGCACTGTGCTCCTTCAAAACAATCACATGGACGTCTTGTCGAACAATGCGCAAGCCCTCTCCTCTAACAACACGTATGCTGTACATTGCAGGGCTTCAGGGCTTGCCCATGGTTTCGTCTTCATGGAATGCACGGACCGCCCACCATGCCACGCCCTTGTTCGGCCTTGCGATGGCCTTTGCGATGGCCTTTCTTCTCTCCTCCGCGCAAAAAGGCCGTCACACATCCCACGGTATTCTGTCGTTCTGCCAAGCTCTGTAAACTCACACACGTCCGTCTCGTGCAAGCAGCTGGCGAAGGCTTGCAAAACGGACAAAAGTCTAGAAGTTATCTCGGCCGTTTGGGGCTGCTCAAAGACAGTATGGCCAAGCTGAGCTACCTGTCAACTGAATCAATACGTCGCCGTTTGGATCAATTGATCGAAAATTGGTGATGAGGATGATGAGGATGATGATGATGATGAGGATGAGGATGAGGATGAGGATGAGGCTGAGGCTGAGGATGAGGATGAGGATGAGGATGATGAGGATAAGAATGATGAGGATGATGAGGATAAGAATGATGAGGATGATGAGGATAAGAATGATGAGGATGATGAGGATGATGAGGATGATGAGGATGAGGATGAGGATGAGGATGAGGATGATGATGAGGATGAGGATGAGGATGAGGATGAGGATGAGGATGAGGATGAGGATGATGATGATGATGATGATGATGATAAGAATGATGAGGATGATAAGGATGATGAGGATGATGAGGATGATGAGGATGAGGATGAGGATGAGGATGAGGCTGAGGCTGAGGAAGAGGATGAGGATGAGGATGATGAGGATAAGAATGATGAGGATGATGAGGATGATGAGGATGATGAGGATGATGAGGATGATGAGGATGAGGATGAGGATGAGGATGAGGATGAGATGAGGATGAGGATGAGGATGAGGATGAGGATGAGGATGAGGATGAGATGATGATGATGATGATGATGATGATGATGATGATGATGATGATGATGATGATGATGATACTGGTTTCACTTTGGCTCTTATCATTTGCCAATGCATCTGTTTCCCACAAGGAGTAACCGTCCGCGATCCTTTTCCAAACCGCCCACAAATCTCAAGTTGCCGGCGCAGTGCTTGCAGCATCTGAGCCAGACCCTCACATGCTCTCGGCCTGCGCACTGCCAATATCTGAAAGCAAGCCAACGAAAGGCCGCAAATATTCAAAGGACTCAGGACCCATTGCCAGAACTTTGAAAGTGGTTGTGCAGCATCACCAGGAAGGGCTGATGACAACACTTGAACACCTCCAGTAAGCCTACTCACCACTACACCTAGCCGGTTCACAACCGCTATTGGGCAGGTGGATTAACCTTGGCATGCAAAAGTTGAGCCACAGCCCAAATGGCATGTGATGAACGGGAATCCCACTGCCACTCCCTTACTCATCTTCCATTCGTCGAGACCGCTTGAGTATCAGCAGCAAATGACAATACCTTCTGGTGGACATCGACAATTGTGGATGGTCTGTGTGGACAAATGTTCGTCACAACTTCTCCTTCCCAAATCAACGACAAACCGGCCAGGCAAACTTGTCGGTTGCTATGCCAAACAGTTGGTCAGTGGCAGGCCACATGCGACACGAGGAACTTATGCAGGGCCTTTTAAAGCCGGCGCTGTCCTCTTGGCGCCTAAACCGCCCGGCGGACAGCGAGAGGTTCGCAATGCGAAGTCCGGCGACTTTGCTTGCTTGCGCCATCTATCTTCTGGCAGCACACAACATATCACGATCGGACTCCTGTTTGTTCGTATGCTTATAAATCAAATAAAGTTCGTAGGGCATGTTTTCCTCTTTTTCTGTGTGGCGCTTGCTGAGAGGCACGCTTGCCCCTTGCAGCTAACTTCCATAAGCGATCCTTTGACCATGCACTCAGGAGCCTGCGGCCTTGGGCTTGTTGGAGACCAAATAGACCTGAGTAGTAGGAATACTTCGGCAAACAAAACCCAGAAGGGCATGGTCCCTTCCCAGTTGCCTTATTTCTGAGGACTCTGCCAATAGATGTAGGACTGATGTGTGAAGTTTAAAATGAGTTTCAGGTGAACTTTCCACGGTTTCGAAGGGCTTTAGGAATGAATAGACAGTTCCCTTTGAATCCCCTTCACAGAGATCTGCCTTCTCAGGATCTGGGTGCATACTCTGATACATCCCGCGCATCTATAGACAGAGCCTTGCACAGAATTGCCAGAAGAGCGCCTCTGCGGCAGTACAGATGTGTCACAATTGGTGTCAGGTTGCCCGTCCTTCAGAAAGGAACCAAACATGGTCCGCTCCCCCCCTCCCCCACACACTCAACGTCTTATCACACTCCCGATAATCGGTGGGGGTATCAAAATCCAGGCCTGTGTCTAACAACAAAGACAGACATCCCACACTCAGGATATCGCCCTTCTCATGATGCCCGAACAGGCCATGTTTGTATGCTCTGCTCTTGAATAAGAGGCGAGGGTGCCCACCCAACACCGTGCAGAAAAACGACTACGCAAGCCACCTTTTGGGAACATCCCACCCTCCGCTGTTTCCCAGGCCTTGCTGAAGGCATCTCCGGCATAGTTGTTGATTGCCTGGTCACGACCGGCATGCACGAAAACACCAAATCAATTTGGACAGAACCTGCAAATAGCCAGGTGAAGGGGCCATCAGAACATGCCATTTGCCACAGTATGTCCTTCCGTTCTCTGCCTATCAACCTCTCCCGAGGAAACTCGTCCCTAAGTCATGAAAATACTGGCAAATCGTGCGAAAGTACAACTGTGCTTCAGAAAGTAGCCAAGCAAAAGCTTTGCGGACATAATTTCAAGTGACCAACATCGGATGGCATATGTCAACCTCTGGCTGCAAAGGACAGTATCTGCAGTCTTGTGGTCCACGTACAGTGCTAGTGACTGACCGTCACTCACCAAAGCAGGCAAAATAAAATGATCCCTTTAGCTAGCACTTCTCGTAACATTCGCACGTTGGAACAAAACCGGCGCGTCTCCATGGCCAAAGCACCTCGCTTCGCCTTTCATACGGTTCATTCCTATGGCTTGCCGCACGAACAAGGACCAGTATGAAATGCTGTATGATCTGGTGACCCAAAGAGCTAACACTGCTTCCAGCTGTCAAGCCCTGCAGTTCTCCCTTCAGGCGTCACTGAGGCATCAAATGAGTTTTTCCACAACAACTATTACGACGGCCAAGCTGTTTGAACATGTCTGATTGCCCTGGAAAGCAAGGAAACAGCAAGGCCGGCCTTGCAGTAGTTCTGGATCTGCCTGCTGAGCACCATAGTGTCCAGAGGCTGAGGCTGAGGATTCCGGTAGCCCTTCCCCTTGCCCTGCGCAGCCAGCGCGCCACAGAGACATCTGGGCCCTCAAACGGGTAACCCTGCAGATGGCTGCCTTGCTTTGGGTTTCCTCTTAAGCACTCATCCGCAGGTTTCCTAACTTCCTATTTTGGAGACAATTCTGGACAGGCAACTAACAACACGAATGAATCTTTGTCGGGTTTGGGACATTGTTGACTTGCCAATTGTGTAAGAAACACTCTCTGTTCTCTCCATGGCTCATGTGGCTCACGTGATAGCTATAAATAGTAAACATGTAGCGAACGCCACGCATCAAAGGCTGGCAAGACCAACATCGGGTTCGCTCGGACCACTGGCCAATTGAATCCCAACCACCACCCCGAGGTTGTGATTCTTCAAGTTCCAGGCTTGCCAGTGTGTACCAAAAATCGAAAAGTCACTTTGTTGCATTTGAAGCTTCTGAGCTTGACTTCCCAAATGATGCGGACAAGTACAAATTGCTGTTTACTGACTTGCCGAGTAACAGAGTAACAGTTACTTATTGACCTTGCCTGAAATTCAGGGCAACCCTGTAGTCCCAAGCGTCAAACTCACTTTCAGGTTCCCGCAACATGTCACCTACCATGGGCGAAAAAGCAGGCAAAATAATTTCACCTGTTTTGGGATCCCCCTAAGACAAATGATGGGCTGAAAGGTACCTTTGACGCTGGCGAAAGGGCCTTGTCATCACCCTTGCGGCCCGCGTTCCGCTCGTACATGGCCTCGGATCTAAGAGGGAACACCCTGAAAGCTTCAAAATGGCGCCTCCGAAGGCACGAACCGGCTCTGTGTCAAAAAACAGAACTCTTTTGGGCGAAGCAATTTGTCCCAGGAGTGAACCACATTGAACTGGATCGACAGGCAGAAAATGTGCCAGAAAACCCGACGGCTCTTTGGGGCCGCAAACCAAGCTGGCTAAGGTGTAGATGCATGAGCCGGTCGAACATGCCCGCTTGCCAGTATGTGGAGGCGCGCGTCGCCACGGCCCTTTCAAGAGGCAACTCATGCGGTGCCCGCAGCACTGGAGGCCCGGGCCATTTTCTGCTGCTCCTGGGGAATCAGAGGTCCGGATGTCAGCCCCGGAATCTGGCCAACCCAAAACCTCGCCATGCTTACAGGGATCTCCATTTGGGGTCGGACGTGGGGGCTCTACGTTCGCAGAACATGAGAACAGCCACACGCAAACAAAAAGAAGCCCCGGTCGTCGGCCAGGTTGGCGAGCGCGGAGCTCAGCAGCTGCACGTTCTTCTCGAAGAAGGCCTAGTCCGTGGTTCCCATCGGCGCTAAATATCCTTTTCGCCTGAGTTTAAAGGGCAACCAGAGAAAAAACACCAGGTTTAACATTGTCCCCCTCTTTTGATGGACGACCTCCGCTTTATGGCACCATTCAAATCGGGCTTCATCCATCCTGGCTGGTGCCTTGCGTGGATTCTGTCCACAGTGGTGGCCCAGCGACCATGATACGGGGACTCTCGTTTCACTCTTGGACCCTGTGGACGACATATGAAAGACATCTAACAAATATATATATATATATATATCATATGAACCACCGAACTTGTCTAGTAGCCAGGTAAAATCACGGGGCCTCTTGCAAGCATCTCGCAGTCTTCAGAAAGGTTTGTATAGGGCTGCGACGCAAGAAGCGATACCTACTTGCTTGAAAGATTCTTCGACAAACATTTTGCCGGGAGGGAAGTGAACTTGTAGAAAGTCTATTTGCCAGAAGGTTCGACGTGAACTGTATGAGCTACAAAGCAGCTACAATGTCCGATCGATTCATTGCCCACAAACAGCCTCAAAA